CGCGCGCGTGTGTGTGATTGGGGGGTGGGGGTGGTGTGAGTGAGCGCTCGCGCAGGTGCGGGGGCAGGTGCGTGTGTGTGTGCAGGCGCGGGTGCTTGCGTGCGGTTCGTGCATGCATATGCGCCTGGAAAGCAGCAGGCGGGTGTCTGCAAGCGTGTTGGCGGTCCAACCAAGTTGTGTGTATGTTGGGCGCGGCTTAGCATCACACTTGGGGTCAACTACTGCAAAATCTGTCCTTGTCCCCTCGCAGGTGCGCCGCAGCCGACGCAGCCGGGGCGGGTCTACCCCGCACAGCGCCTGCGCCGTGTGCGGCAAGACGCCGGCAGATGGCGCGCAGCTGCGGCGCTGCGCCGGCTGCGGCCGCACCACGGGCGTGATGTACTGCGGCGACGCGTGCTGCCGCCACCACTGGGTGCGCATGGCGCACCGCAGGGAGTGCGAGGCCGTGCAGCTGGCGCGGGTGGTGGAGGGCCTGATGCCGGCCGCAGAGATGGGCAATTAGGGCGTTGATCTCAGCGTGAGGGGCAAAGCCCGGGCTGGATATTGCGAGGGTGCGGGCCTGCCGTGACTCTGGGCTGTCACTAGTTCATGTTGTCTAAATTCAGCCCCACCCTGGCGGCCGAGGCTGGTGCGCTCCTGCAGCTCTGCTACACAGTTTCAGATCTGCATGGATTTCGTCACCCCTCAATTCATTTGGCTTGTCTCACCAGGTGCCTGTCATTCCTCCAAGCATGATGCATCAGGTCGCCACTTCCGATTGGAACAAATCGTGCGTTCACCCATTTATCATACTGTGCCGATCCGCCCAATCAGCCATCTGTAACGGTCAGACAGCAGTGCGAAGGGGTCTTGTCGCGCAAGGCCTCGCTGTTCAATTGGGCTCAACTTGACTGGGTCAAGACCGCCCCAAGCGGGTCTGACCAGGCCAAGACGGCCTGATGACCAGACCAAGTCATTGCGGGGAGCAGTATGTATGTAGAAACGAATGTAAAGTTACACAAGCAGCGCGGCGCTCCAGTGCACCCCACACGCATTTCAACCACAGCAGCAGCCCGTTCTGCAAACCCACGCTCATGCCTCCCAGACCGGCCTGGTTGCGAGCCGCTGCGTTCGCCTGACCTGTTGCTGCAAACTCCGCTGACCACGTCCAGTTGGGCGATCACATCT